CTCCCCAAAACCCCAAAACCCCAAAACCCCTCTTGGAAATGAACTGGTTGAAAATTAAGGAAAATTAAAATCTTTAGACACACACTGAGCTTGCATTAAAAAGCCAAGATCAAGAATACTGCTCTTCTTCTTACCCAAGTCTGAGATAGACTTAGAGTGGTTTCTGATCAGCATCATCATGATTTTCTTAAATTCTGTGTAATTTATCCTTTTCTCATCTCCAATTTCGACTAACTGAAGAATATCAACCAAATCATCCTCAGCTTCAACGACACCTAGGATTTTCTTTAGGTTCTCAATATCAATATAGCCTTCGCCATTGACATCGAATTGCTTGAAGCTGTGCTTGAGGTTTGCCTCAGTCAAAGTAGTCTTCACATCTGTGGCTGCGGCCACAAATTCTGTATAATCTATGACGCCATCATTATTCAGGTCCATTGCTGACTAAAGCATTATTAGCAAATCTTACAAGTATTTGTTTTGGAATGAGACATTTCAGATCATTCTTCTTCAAAACTCCGTCATGATCTTCATCAAGTTTTAAAAAGGTCTCTCTTAATTTATTTGTTGTTCCTAGCTGGAGTAAGATAATTAGCGATATACGCTAAGATCGCTTGCTGGAATTTCCGCTCTCAATTGAACCTCTGGAGGTTTTTAAGCACAGATTTTGATATCACATTAGTACCACATTCTTTGTTCTTAGAAAATCTTTTGACCCATGCCATCTTTAAGCAATCTTGAGCAGTTGGTCTGTCTGAAGGCTTAAACTCAAGCAATTTTCTAATGAAGTTTTTACTCATTTCTGAAATATGATCCCATTTATTTTAGCTCAAAAGTCAGCTCGTGTGTTAAAATGCTGATAAATACTTCTTTTAGTGATTTACCCCTGAAAGGTGGTCCACCACTTAGCATAATATATAGTAGTACTCCTCAACTCCAAATGTCTGCTTTCTCATCATACTTCCCTTTCAGAATCTCAGGTGCTAGGTAATAAGGGGTGCCTTGAACTTGTGACAGCTTCTCCTTAGGATTAAACTTTGTTGCCATTCCAAAGTCAATCAATTTCACATGAAGATCCTTGGCATCCTTCTCGAAAAACATGATGTTTTCAGCTTTCAGGTCTGAATGTATTATATTATTTCGAATGTAAGTAAGCTAATGCCGAGAGGACTTGTTTTATAATTTTTCAGGCCATCCCTTCACTGAAAGTACCCTTTTTACAGATGTATTCGAATATCTCACCTCCTTCACAAAGTTCCATAAAGATATTCAGATCTTCTTCATCTTCAGTAAACTCAAATATTTTTATTATATTGGGATGGTCAGCTATCTTTAAAATTTCGATCTCATTTTTCACCATTGTGAGAGCCTTATTTTGAAAAATTCTTCTTTGATTGGATCTTGCAGGCTCTGATATGGCCTCCATCCTTTAAGATAGCTTTTATGACTCGTCCAAAGCCTCCTTTACCAAGGGGTTCTTTGAAGTCATACTTGTCCTCTATCTTGAAGTTGCCTTTCCTCACCATATTCTCATAAATTGATTTATTTGAGAGATCTCGGTTTATTTTTGAAAAAGTGTTGTCTTCTTTACGGCTCACTTCCTTACTCTCATCAACCTCTTTCACTCATGAGATAGAATTAGGCCTGTATTTCTCTTTACATTTATCTAAGATGGATGGAGATTTCTCGGGAGAAGTCTCTTCCTTCCCATTTCTTCCCATCTGGGCTTGACCTCAATAAATCATCATATTGTTCACATTGATTTTTACATTATCAGGAGATTCACAATGAGCACCAGAGCCTATGAATTAATGAATGAATTTTACAGCGAGGGTTATGAATATCATTTTTATTGGGTTTGTCTAGAATAGATATTAGCATTGCAATAAGATGTTGCCCTACATTGATGGTAGTTTTGGTATCTCCTATGCTTATTTCCTGGGTAGAACCCCCTCGAAGATTCTTGAGACTCCTCGGTATTCTTTCAACAAGTGTTGCCCATAGCTTAGTAGGTTTATCAAATAATTCTATTAATCATCTCTATTTAGGGGTTTTGGGGTTTTGGGGTTTTGGGG